TAACGGCTTAAAGCTCGCCTGCAGACCCAGGGTCGTCTGCAGTCCCCAGCTTCGCCTGCACCTGCAAATCCGCCTGCAGACCCAAGTCTGCCTGCAGTCCCCAGCTCTGCCTGCAGTCCCAAATCTGCCTGCAGACCCAAGCTTGCCTGCAGACCCAAGCTGCAGACTTGCCAGCTCACTGTCAACTGCCCACTTGGAGTATGGGAACAGTTACATCAGTGGTCAAATCCCACAAATCAAGGGAGAGGGCACAGTACCCCAAGACCGTCAAGCGGCCGCTCACAGTACGAATGATTGGGCAGGTGTCGAGTCGACCTGAACATTCATAAATGCATCTCACCTCGGCTGTCTGAGTCAAGAGCCGGATCCGCCAGCACCCGGCGAGCTGTCCAAGCCCACTCGAGTACCAGGAACCCGCTTTCCCACCTCTCTCGACCTGAAGAGAGAAGACACGGTACTCCAGGCCCGCCGAATAGCCGCTCACGGTACAAGTGGTCAGACAAACGCCAAATCAACCTGCACCCTCATAAATGCGACTCACCTCACTTGTCCAAGCGAAGGGGGAGAGCCGCCGACGCTCGGTGGTTGGTCAGATCCACTCGAGTATCTGACGACCGTCGTCACACATACGAGGAGGGGCTTTCCCGCTCCTACTTGACGTGATGCCAAACACGACTCCTCGAATGACCGCTCATGGTACAGATGAACAGCAGGATATCTCTGAACAATGTATGGTCACATCCCATGATTCAAGGAGCGGCTACGCCATCTCTCCTCTATTTAAGAACCTCGCCCGGCTGCAGGAAAGAGGTACACACATAGTTAATTGATTATTTCAATCAGTTAACTGAACCACCAGCTCTCGACTCCCAACCGAGTCGATGACAAGCTCTTTGCATAACTCTTGCACTGTAGCATCTTCTCCTAGTTCTGAGCCCTGATCGTCGGTGAACTAGAAGACCCAAACTCCATCGAACCGAGTTTCTACTGTGTATTGAATCTCCGGTAGCAACTTCGATCGGATCGTCCAAGGGAAGCAGACTCGGCGCGAGCACCGAGCGAGGCGTCCTATCGCCACCAAGGAACCCACGTTAAACAAGGAGGGCCTTCCCTCTACTTCTGTTGTCAACATTTGATTTATTAGTTTGTAATAAGCCTTCTTATCAATACAAACGAAGTTCCCTGTTTTCGGGAGATCAAAATTTACACCTACATGGGGAAAGATTCTGCATCCCCAACAAGTGACTCTGTTTCACCCTCTCCCTCATCCAAGGGGTGAAAGGAAGAAGATACACTTGATAGAACGGAACCCATAGAACGGAGTCCTGTGCGACGGGAAAGGCTTGCAGCAGTAGGATCATGTCTTTCCTCCCTCTTAGCGGACTTGAAAGCATCTGCCATCAATCTCTCCCCCTGTTGAGGAGAGGACCCTACTATCAACCTTCGACGAGTCTGTCTATCGTACTCACTGGCTTCATCTAAGGTGAGAACCCTTTTTTCAGCAGCTCTTGTTCTAGGTGTTTCTGCTGCTTGAGGTTCCTCGGCTTAAACTTCTTCAGCTGTTTGACCCTCTTCTTTCTCAGTGGTCACTTCTTCATAATCTAAGTACTCGCCTATGCCTCTTAGACGAGACATCCTTGATCCCCTCTTGAAAGCATACATCTTTCTGATCTCTCTCAGACCAGATAAGTTCAACTTATACTCGAGCATCTGGGAGGCAGTGTGATACCAATTACAGAAGCTCATGAAAGTAAAGGAATTAGACATCTTGTATGGAAATTTGAATGTTACTCTGGTACAACCCGCTACCGAGTAGTACCACACCCTAGCTCCTTCGTACAGATTACTGATAGCGACGAGTGGAGCTCTGGGATTCCCAACATATAATTGGTCATACTCAAATTGGCAGGCAAACCTATATGGTTGGTACAGCTCAATTAGACACTTCTCTCCCTGACGATAGAGAAGGTAGCCCGGCCTAGAGCAGCTAACGGAAGACACCACTCTTCAAGAAGGTGAAGTCGTTAGGACCCTTCACATCTTAAAATATTCTACCATATCCTCTGCCTTCAAACTCAGGGAAGCAACAAACGATGTCCCCTCCTAAGTGGCTGCTTCTAACCATTGTAGAAACGGAATGAATACGTTGCCCTGTGAAGAGGGAGCACTCATCAGCGAAGGATTGTGAGAAGTGTATCATGCCATAAGATAGGTGTATGGCATTAGCACGCGAGGGTTGGGAGATGTGAATTGCTTCTTTTCTCTGCTACCTGTCTCTTTAACCTGGATGAAATCTTGGGCCAGTTCACGCAAACCATGTTGCAAGAAACATATCATTGTGAAGAGCAGGTTTATAGGTACCCCATCAGCTAAGAGAATAGCCAGGTATACTACCTCGATAGTAAGAGCATCCATAGGCCTGGAGGGGACCACACAACATTTCAACCACAGCATGAGAAACCCTGCCAACAAGGCTATGTCCGATAAAGGAATTGATGCTTGGTGATGAAAACTATCAAATTCAGTCTGAACTGGGAAAATATCCTCTTTTCCCTCATTAACATAATGAACAGTAGCATTATTGATCCAGTTTTTAATTTCTTTCAGAGTGCTCATAGTCAAGCAATATACAACAGTAGTCTTGTGAGTCAAATCTTAAAACAGATATTTTGCCCACGATAACTGTTTTACACCACTTGCTCTTATTCCCGTCAGTTGGGTGCAGATCTGAAAGTGACACATCACTTTCCAGAGGGTGTCATAGATTTCAGGGCTGGCTTTTCTCAAAAGATTAAGTTCCGCTGCTCCTGGGATAAACTCATCATATAGTAAATCCCTAAAAGGAAGACCAGAGATGTTATGCATCTCATGGATAGAAAATCCCAACTCCCCAACTGGAGTGAAGAAAGTACATGTCTTCGGATTATGTTGCTCCAATATTGTGAAAAAATTATAGTGGTTCTGAGCAATTCCATATCTAGTAGCCATTACAGGACAACCTAGTCCAGACCAAGTCAGCGACTCTTCCAATTCATTCAAGACAAGCTCTGTCATCCGGGTCCACCACCCTGCTCTTGTAGAATGTACCCAACCGGGAGACCTGAATACTTGTGAAGGGAATTCACCATTCATTGCTAAAAATATTCAGATGAAGGTGTTTGTCGGGCTAGCTACTTCACCAATGGGGTAATAGGCATGGAGCCAGAGCTGACACCTGTCGATTGTAACCAACAGTACGGATGCCATGAAAGGTTAAAATGCCAACTGCAACTCCATCTTGCTCTTTGACAAGATCCCAATGCATATACCTTAGAACAGAAGCATATTGGTAGTATGATAGAGGGAACATCCTCTCCATGTTGGGTAGAAAGAAATGGTTATCTCCCACCTTCCTTAACAATTTATAGTCCCTGTCATACATGATGTCCCTCTCAAGTTCAATGGAGTCTCCAAACAGAAAAGTCGGTTTGTCAAACTTTTTACGGTTTGCATTTTTAAATCTGGCATCTGTTCGTGGGAAAAATTGCTTTCTTTGCTGATTCCATTGATTCCTTTGTTAACAGTTTATCGGTTACAAAGATCCGGTCTTTTTATAAGATCCGGTTACAATAAAATCAAAGAAAAGATAAAAATTACAACTTTCCTTATTTGTCGAACGAATCACGAGCTCCTGTTTTGCGGTCACTCGCTTTTGTGGGTTCTTTGCCTGCGCCGGGGTTTATCCGTGGACCACCGCGCGATCTAGATCCGGTCGGATCTATATGGTATAGCGGGTGTTATCTCACGAAGGAAATAACAGCCGAGGGGATTATTTCACCAAGGAAATAATAGCCCGTAGTTATCGAAATCGACCAAGCGAAATCGAGACTCTTCTCGGGATCAAAGGCCAAGCTTTGATCCGGAGGGAAACCGTGTAGATCTCAGATCTGATCTCTTTCTTTCGAACTCCTGCCTTTTGTGACGTGGATGCTCGCCAAGAACCAGATCTGAATGTCCAAGTCTTCAAGTCTTCAAAACTCCAAGCTCAGTTCTTAATTCGGTAGAGTTTCGGCTCCAAAAGTTCTAACCTTCCACAAATGAGCCATGCCCCTCTATTTATAGGCACTCAGAACTGTGCCCGGGCACAGATCTGGCCGGCCACCTAGAGGTGGCTCGGCCACCGAGCCACCTATAGGTGTTATGTCCGTTGTCCGGTTTTGCGCTTCGTCTGAGTTTCGTCGCTGATCTGGACTCTGATATGGCAGTCTGGATCCCGATATGGCAGTAAATCCGCTTCGGTGTTCGAGTTCGAATCCGTTCTACAGTTGGATGACTCGTTGACTCACCGAACCGTTAGCTTGATTCTGCACGCGAGTGGATCTATTCCGTTGCTGATTCGTCGATCTCGTCGCCTCGTTGGTTCGTCGGTTTGTGCCGAGCTGTGCTAATGGACCTATAAGCAGTTTTATACGCCTACAGATACCCCCTCCAAAGTATTTCAGTCTCGTTCTTTTATAGAAGAGTCTGGAATACTTTGGATATGATTGTCCCAACCTTCAGTCGGTGTAACGGGACCTTGGAATGGCTTCTGTTCTTGATTCCTTCAATCCTTCAGGCTATTCGATGCTTTGTTGAATGTCTGTAAGAGTTCCGGTGCTGCATTTATCGTCTGACCATTGTCGGAATTTTAAACTTGAAGTCAATTCCTGATTTTCTGATCTTTAGCTCGTGTTTGTTGGTTCAACATAGAACTGACCATCGATTGTTAGCGTTGAGTTCTCATTTGCGACGCGTTGTCCGGCATGGTGTTGTTGAGTTATCCTTAAGAATATTTTTAGGAAAAATATTCTCCAGGAACTTCTCAACCAAAAATATAGGGAATAGTTTATACTCTTATACCTTATTGGAGTAATTTCTGTGCCCGAATGAGCTGAACCCGCCTGATAATGAGCTGAACCGGCTTGATAATGAGCCAAAAAAAGGTAGTAATTCGGCTCAAAAAAATCTTCTGATCCTTCCGAATGTGCGGGAGAGGTAAGAATAAACCAAGGACTGAACCCTCGGTCGATTTGAAGTTATTTCGATGCTCGATTCGGCTTCAATTTGAATTCTGGTTCAAATTTGGTTCAAACTGGTTCAACCTTGTTCAAGGCTGGTTCAACCTGGTTCAAGGTTAGTTCAGGACTGGTTCAAGACTGGTTCAGACTGGTTCATCCTGGTCTGGTCTGGTTTAGTCTGGTTTGGCCTGGTTCAGCCTCTTCTGAACTGATTTGGACTGGTCTGGTCTGGTTCAACCTGGTCCGGTCTGGTTCAAGGCTGGTTCATCTATAAAAGCCTCTTTTTTCTCCTCCTCTAGGGTCGGCCACCCTTTCCTCCTTCTTCTTGGATTCCTCTTCCCTCTTGCATCCTTTCTCCCTCAAATCTTCATAATTATCCTAGATCCATCTTTCCTTTGGATCTTAGGCTGAAAAATCCCTCCAAAATCTTCAGATAAAAATTTCTCTCAGACCCCTCGAGCACGTGGTCCGAGCCTCTTTCAAGAGTTAATTTTTTGTCGGATCCTCGAGCTTTTCTTCAGGTAAATCCTCCATAATTTTGGGATATTTCATGTTTAATTCAATTTATGAACTTGTGGGATTGCATGTGAGGGTTAGGATTATGATTTGACGCCTCGAGCTCTTCTTTCAGGGGGGTAGAATTGCAATAAAAAGGGGAATTTTTTCTGGATCTAATCCCCTAATTTATTTTGTAGATCATTATGTCGCGTGTCCCGAGAGGTCATTCCCCTGCTGCACCGGCTGATGGCGTGCTTCCTTCGTATGCTGGTGAGCTATTTTTGGCATATTTGGAAATTTACAAATTAGTCCTCTTTTTCCTAGAAATTTGCAAATTAGTCCTTTTTTTTCACGTTGTTCTCCTTGGTGAGGCAATCGGGAAGAGCCTTGATTCTCCTTAGTGAGGATCGACGCTTTAAAGATGGGTTTTGCTTGGTCAATTCAAATCTTCCGGTATAGTGGGGCGATTTCGTGTTATTTTACACTTCGTAGGTCGGTGTATGTTACCATGTTGTTTACATGATGATGCATACCGTTCTTCAAGTGTAAGACACTCAAAGTCGTCTCTCTAATTACCCCGTGGATGATTTTATTTCGCTCTTTTACGAGACAGACTTAATTCATGGATAATTTTCTGACTCTATCTTTGTTTTGTTGCAGTCGAGTTCCCCACAGACAGTCTCTCTCCTCATGCTACTACCGGTCGTAGTGGGGATGTTTTATCTTCGGTTTCTGCCAGGCAGGCCATCGGTCCACTTCCTCGGTCGAATTCCCGTGATAGGAGGATGGTGAGTCCCGAAATCATCCTAATATCCGACGATGAAGGGGAAGAGGATCCCATTGCTGCAATTATGTCTGACCAAGAATCTGTCCTCCCGATCTCCGAATCCGTGCAGGGCATCCTCCAAAAATTAGAGAAGGTTATGCAACAAACGGCCACCGCCATTAGTTCTGGACGGGGAAGATTTTATGATTTGCTCCCTTTCATAGCAGATAGTCTTAAAGACATTCAGCGTGTAGGTGGCATCCGGCTAGCTAGACGATGTGAGTTAAGGTTGACTTGTTTAGAGGAACTCATGTATCGTTTGGAAGAGCTAGTACACTTCGACTCATATGATGAGGTCACGCCACTCATGATCGATGCTCAGATTCAGAGGATGCACGAGCGTAAGGCCCGAGCGAGACGCATATCAGAGCAAGAAATCATCGTTGCGAACTTGTACGAACGGCAACGTCATCTGCGGACTAAGATAGATGCTTATAACAGCATTGCTAATAGGACAGGGATTAGGACCGTCCAAGGGGAGAGGACTCTAAAAGATTTTGAGCTTGAGAGCACCAGAGTTCAAAATGTTTATAGAGGAGAGCTGGAGGTTCTTCACACATTGCGCCGAGAAGACGTAACTGCCGACGCTGTCGCCGTTCTTGCTTATGCCAAGCTTCAGAAGGAAGTAGAGGAGAAGGCTCGAGCGGAACACGCAGAGAAACTTGCCGCTGTTAAGGCTAAAATTGCTTCCTTCAGTTTGTTAGATCTAATTTGAGACGTCTTCTTATATCTCCACTTGGTCTGATTTTATTAATGAAATAAAGTCTTTTCTTTAGCGCACTCCTCTCTTTATCATTATGTTTCTCTGTTGATTGTGAACCCAACGGTCATAATACTTACAGGATTTTTGGCAAATCCTCAGCCATCAACGGGTTTGATAAGCCTTTACCGATTACCGTTTGAATCGGGCTAGCATGCGGATTATCTAAATCCGTTCCGCATGTGACGTTGTGCTAAGAGAGTTAACGCTCTTAGTGCTACGATATTGAATACGTAGACTTCGTCTTTCTCACGGGAATAGACTACCCGGCGACGTGTATTAGACGCTGACTTATCCCTACTTAGGCTTCGAGATAAAATACCCCAGAATCGAACTCTGGTGTCTTTTTCTATGAAGAAAGACTAAACCGGTGACGCGTGTTAGGCGTTGACTTTAGGATTTTTGGCTAACCCCCAGCCTTCAACGGATTTGATTAGCCTTTACTGACTACCATTTGAATCGGGCTAGCAAGCGGATTGTCTAAATCCGTTCCGCATGTAACGTTGTGCTAAGAGAGTGAATTCTCTGAGACTTTGTGCTATGATGTCGAATACATAGGCTTCGCTATTGTTACGGGAATAGGCTACCCGGCAACGTGTATTAGATGCTGACTTATCCCTACTTAGGCTTCGGGATAAAATACCCCAGAATCGAACTCTGGTGTCTTCTTCTACGGAGAAAGACTAAACCGGCGACGCGTGTTAGGCGTCGGCATATCCTTTCTTAGGATTTAGGATGAAATTCTGCATGCGTGTAAGGCATGGATTTTTGTGTTATTAATAACAACCTGCCACAATGTTGAATATGTGGGCGGGCGTGTAAGGCATGGATTTTTGTGTTATTAATAACAACCTGCCACAATGTTGAATATGTGGGCGGGTGTTCTTTTTAACGTTTAAGAACTAACCGGCAGCGCGGGTTAGGCGCAGACTTATCCCTGCTTAGGTTTCAGGATAGAATACCTTTAAGAACTAACCGGCAGCGCGGGTTAGGCGCAGACTTATCCCTGCTTAGGTTTCAGGATAGAATACCTCCGAATCGAATTCTGGTGTCTTTTTCTACCGAAAAAGACTAAACCGGCAGCGCGTGTTAGGCGCAGACTTATCCCTGCTTAGGATTCGGGATAAACTTCCTAGGATGAATCCTAGATTGACAAATTCTTGGAAAAGGTTGGTGCGGGAAAGGAAGAATTTTATACTCTATTTCCTGGTCTTTTTTTAGGGTGAAGGGGAACCCGAATACAAGGAAGGAAGAATTTTATATTCTATTCCCTGATTCTGGAAAGGAAGAATTTTATATTCTATTTCCAGTGCAAAAGAAACTAGAAGTGGGATCTCCACTCCGAGAATCTGGAAAATCTAGATAAACCTACCTTTTATAGGATTGGTTATCTAAACTGAAGAAGAGTTCTTCGTTTATCGAAGTAAAACTTCAACTTCGGTTATAGCCATGAGAGGGCTTAACCAAAGAGAAGAAGAAGGGAGTTCTTTCGTTTATCGAAAGGGGACTCCGAAATGAAAATGGACCTCTTGTCTATGGAAAGAGTCAAGAGGGCCAAATGGACACTTTTGGTGAACTCACTGTTAATTGAAACTGATCAGTGAGGGATTTTGGTGGAGAAAAATTATTTTGGGTTATCCTCTAGAATATTAAGTGTAATATTCTTCAAGGAACTTCCCGGTAAACGAGTTATCCTGAATGTACTAGGGATAGTACTTTTTTAGGAACTTTCCATTTATTGGCATCAATTGCCGGGTGCCTTCTTGAGTAATTAGGCGATATGCGCCGTTTGAATAGACTGTGTCTATTACAAACGGTCCTTCCTATTTGGGTTCGAATTTACCTTTCTTCTTGGAAGTGAGGATTATTGGTCGGCGAGCAGCGAGGACCAGATCTCCTTCCTTGAAGCTTCTCTGTCGGACTCTTTTGTTAAAAGCCCTAGACATCCTGGCCTGATAGAACTCAATTTGCTGTTGAGCTTCCAAGCGCTTTTCATCCAGCCTCTCAAGCTCTTCGAGACGCTTCTGATGCTGTTCTTCTGTCGTCATCTCTGTTGCGAGGGCGATCCGAAGGGATGGAATCTGAATTTCCAGCGGTAGCACGGCTTCACATCCGTATACCAACGAATACGGGGTGGCCCCTGTAGGTGTGCGTATGGTGGTGCGATAAGCCCAGAGTGCTTCACCGAGTTTATCGTCCCAGTCTCGTTTATTGGTCTTCACGAGCTTTGACAGGATCTTAATGATCGTTTTGTTAAACGCCTCAGCTAATCCATTCGCAGCGGGATAGTAAGCTGTTGACGAAACATCTTGAATCTTGAACTTATCAGAAAACCTGACAAAGGCGTTGCTTATGAACTATGGACCGTTGTCATGAATGATCCGTCTTGGCATGCCGTGTCTGTATATGACATGATGCTTGATGAAATTGATGACGTTGTTCGTCTTCACTTCTCTAAGCGGAATTGCTTCAGCCCACTTTGAAAAGTAATCCGTGATTGCGAGAATGAATCGATCACCTTTGACTGAAGGGGGAAAAATAGGACCGACAATGTCCATACCCCATGTCTCGAACGGCCAAGACGTGGCTGACGTGTGTAAACGCTCTGGTGGTTGGTGCATATAATTTGCATGTACTTGACAAGCATGACACTCTCGGGCGTATTCGATTGCGTCACGAACCATTGTTGGCCAAAAATATCTCATTCTCCTGATGCGATCATACAGTTTGGAACCGGGCTGATGCGCACCACATTCTCCTTCGTGTGCTTCCTTAAGAACTTCTTCTGCTTCTTTGTTCGAAAGGCATCGGAGTAATAAACCATCGTACCCTCTACGGTATAACGTATGGGTCTCGATATTATAGAAGAATCTTGGTGCTCTTCGGCGGATTGATTCTCTTTCTTTTACATCCTCTGGCAAAATACCATACTGGACGTAGTCAATGATAGGAAAATGCCAATCTCGGGATTCAGACCCAATTTGAGTTGAATTCACCTTATTGGCGTTTATATTTCTGTCATCTTCCTCTTCAATATCCATATCGTATATGGGTATGCAAAGCTGGTGCGTCCTTACTGTGACTAATAGCTCAGTTTCAGGAGGCTGCGCAAGTGAAACCGCTAGTGCTGCCAGTGCATCCGCATAAGCGTTCTGGAGACGGGGGATATATTCAATGAAGAATTCTTCAAAAGATTCTACCATTTTGATGGCCTCCTGGTGATACGGGATCAGGTCTTGGTTCCTGACTTCATACTCTCCACGGACTTGGTTGACTATCAATTGAGAATCCCTAAAAGCTTTGAGATATTCGACCCCCAGCTCCTTGGCGAAACTGAGTCTAATGAGAAGCGCGTTGTACTTGGCTACGTTATTGGAACACGAACTAGTCAATGAATAAGCCCGAGGCATCACATGCTTCCCTGGGGAAATTAAGACAACTCGAACTCCGGAGGAGACTGTAGAACATCCGGGGGTTATTGTCCTATTAACTGCCCTCGAAGCACCATCAAAGTATAATTGCCATACTTGTTGGTGCGATGTAGTGTTAACCTCGTGAGTTTCATCCGGCAAGTCATCATATACTTCTGTCGTATCTGTGGTCGGGTTTGCCGCCAAAAGATTACAAATCGCTTGTCCTTTGATCGACTTCTGTTGTTTGAAGTGCAAATCATACTGGGACAAGAGAAGGGCCCACTTCGCTAACCACCAATTCATAGAGGCCGGTTGCGTCATAAACACCCATACTGGATTAACGTTGGAAATGACGTAGATCGTCTGTCCAACCAAATAATGCCGCATCTTTTGCATTGCGAATACCAATGCGAGGCATTCTTTCTCAATCATCGGATATCGAGACTCGGCACCTATCAAGGTCCGACTTAGGTAATAGACTGCCTGCTCGTGACAATTATCATCGTCTTGTGCTAGTAAGGCACTTATCGAGTGGTTCATCGCCTTGAGATAAATCAAGAACGGTCTACCTGATTTTGGTGCAATGAGAACAGGAGGATTCGTCAGATATGTTTTAATATCTTCGAATGCTTTTTGGCAGGCGTCTTCTCAGATAAAATACACCCCTTTCTTGTTTAGTTTAGAGAATGGTTGGCACTTCCCAGAAAGATTAGAGATGAACTGCCGGATGTAAGCTAAACGCCCTTGCAATCTTCTGAGCTCTCTTAGATTTCTAGGGGGTTGCAGTTCGTGTATCGTCTTCACCTTATCAGGATCGATATGTATACCTTTAGTGGTGACGACGAATCAAGGGAATTTTCCGCTGGACATTCCAAGGAAGGATTTAGTTGGGTTCATCTTCAATTGATGACTCCTCATGAG